ATGCGCTCTGCCCTTTTCGTCTACCTCACTCTCTTGCCTCTGCAATCCAGATGTAAGAGCGAGGAAACATCAATATCATGGATTTACAGATCATGCGCTACTGATAAGGATCAATTTGGTATTAAACATTCAGTCCTGTATAGGAAACATGCAATTCTGTCTAGCATACTGCATGAGCAAGTCTAAGAGAGTTCATACAAAGGTAGAGGTCATGAAAAGGACATTCACAGTCTCTGTCTTATACAGCACATCCAGAGACCGTCCACAGACCAGCCACGGACTGTCTGATGCAAACTGCACACAATTCGATTGGCTGGCTGCTATACGCAGTGTTCTCAGTCAGGTTGTTGTCAGTACAGTGAGAAATAAAAACTGAAAGAAAAAAGCTTCAGAACAAAAGACGATCACCTATGCAAACTTTGTCAACAGCTGAAAGTCTAGGGAACATCTTATGAGGGTCCTTTTACGATCGTTAACAAAACAAAAGATCTATAACCACAAATTCACTATAGTTAATATTATAAATTGTTAGAACAGCCTGTATTAAACATGAAAATGGCACTAGATACCACTAATGGCACTAGACTGTGCTGAGAAATGTAACACTGTACAACAGTCTTAAAAGATGCAGTTAATGCATTAACTTGCCCTGAAATATTAAAAATACTAAATCCAAGTAAAACTAACAATGACAGACTAAAAACTAATCTGAAAAGAAAAACTGAAAATGAAATACTGTACAAAATAAAAACTATCATAACTATAATAACCCTATGCCATAGTAGGACAACATTTAAAATTGAAGAAACATGAGTACACATTTGAATTGAATTGGCCACTCTAGTCTAGGGAATGTGATGTTTTCATATTTCCAATATGCCCCGCCAGCTGGGAGATACAGCATTCAGAGATGGTTTATAGTGGTGTGTGGCCAATGAACGTTAAACCAGGGGAGATAACAGCTCAAGGACTTCCAATGACAGAGCTTAAAAAGAAGGCCTTAACACACAAACACACATACGCTCAGACATCAGCGCTCTCACAGGATAAAGCCTATCTAAAAGAAGGCTGTGTAGGAGCAAAGGGAAGGACTCTCAGGCGGACCCCTGAGATGATAAGTGGGATGCAGCCGGTCATTTGCAGCATGTTGGAGCTCATATGGCAACGCGTCTGTGAGCTCCCACAAGAGACACACACGGTATATTAATGTAGCCTACCAGTTAAGATGGAAAAGAGCTCGCTCTGTTTACTACAGAATCAATGCCTTTACGGTTTAACCCATGGCGAAATACGTGGGGTTACACTGAGGTGAGGAAATAATGGAACAAGAGAGACAGAAAAACAAAGTGAAAGACCATTTATACTGCATTTATCTCTCTAGATACCAATGTGAGCATGAAAGACATGGACTGTGCCTTAAAAGGATTGTTCACCCAAAAATGAAAAGTCTGTCATCATTTACTCAAGCTCATATTTCAAGAATATAAAACATTTTTAATAAAGCACTGGTCACTTGATTCCATGCAGTTATAACAAGTAAGTACTGGAGCAACATAAATGCTTGGTATATATTGATTGATTGATTGATTGATTGATTGGGGTATTCTTCAGTCCATTTTGCTTAAAATTGTAAGCTAAAAGTATTTTTTATTGGTAGTCTATGTCAACTAATGTAATTAACTAATGTTAACAAATGGAACCTTATTGTAAAGTGTTACCAAATGTTTTTCTTACTTAGTATTGTTGTCTTGTTTTCCATTAAAATAATTAAAACATTTTAATCAAGATACATTTAATTCAGATGCAAAATAGCTTAAGATGTTATGTCTTAATTAAAAAAACATCAATATTAGAAGAGGTTATGCTTAAAACAAGAAAAAATATAATTGCATCAATATTTTCACCAAGCCCACAGAGACATCATACAATTTGCCTATTCAACACAATACAATCATCATAGGAGCATAGTAAATGAAGACTGTATTTTATCATTTCTTTGTATTTGTATCTTTCTCTGTATGTCACGGCTTCATTATCTCCACTGTTAAAACAGTAATGTAGTGGATAACTCAGGAATTTGCATTAACAAAACAACTAAGCTATTTTATGGCCACTGGTTAAAAATGCGTCGCAGCAATCTTTTTTTTTTTCTGAATTATTCAGAGCCTTGGAAATTCGATTTGAGTGGTAGAGGTGAACAATGTTTCTTTTTCATATTGTGTAAATAATATTAGTGTCAAAAGGTTTTGTACATATCCAACATTCCCTGTGATTAAAATGCCATCAAGGGAAATGTTTTTTATGTGCTTGTGTGTGTGTGTGTGTGTGTGTGTGCTTTGTTCTTTAAGCTGGGTCATCCCCAAGCATTAAATAACGTCAAAACAGTCTTGTGTAATGAGCCCCATATCTGTGGATGAAATATTTAATATGTTTCCCCCTTGGGCAGCTCATCTTTAATAAAAGAAAGCGGTTTTGTATCTGTATTTACATAAAGACAAAGAGACCATATCTAATCTGTATCAGAATTACAATAAAGCAGAACTTAATTATTCCTCTCACATTGTAAGATTGCTTTTTGAACACTTGCTAGCTATGATTACAATTCAATTGGAACTTATTACTGGTGAGTAATAATCCTGAAATCTTGAGCAAAAACTTGATTGTGGAAAATGAGAAAAATATATTATGCATATAATTATGCATGACATTTGCGATTCGTATATCTGCAATGGTATAGGAATTACAATGTATGATAATGCCGGCTGGCTCATCTAACGTCTCAGAAATGTTTCATTCATTAAGCCATGAAGGAAATTCAGATTTAGAAGGTTGACATTTATGCATCATCATAGCCTCATTATCATACAGAAACACATTCAAGTACATACACCTAAGTACATATACAAGCATACATTTATTTTTTATGTACAGTATATTGTGTATGTCTCCCTCATGCTGTCAAACCTGCTCCGATGCGTTGAGGCATGGACTCCACAAGACCTCTGAATGTGTCTAGTGGTATCTGGCACCAAGACATTAGCAGCAGATCCTTTAAGCCTCCATGGATCGGATTTGTTGGTTCAGCACATCCCATAGATGCTCAATTGGACTGAGATCTGGGGAATTTGGAGGCCAAGGAAGCACCTTGAACTCTGTCATGTTCCACAAACCATTCCTGAACAATTTTTGCCATGTGGCAGGGTGTATTATACTGCTAAAAGAGACCACTGCCATCAGGGAACAACACTGCTATGAAGGACAGCACTGCTTGTCCACGTGATCTAAAAGAAAACATGATTCATCACACCAGACACCCTTTTTCCATTGCAGATGCCCATTGCAAGAACTTGGCGATGGACCGGGGTCATCATAGGCACTCTGACCAATCAGTGGCTACGGAGCCCCATACACAACAAACTTGACTGGTTTGGCCTTCACTCCACATTAGCCTTGGGCGCCCATGACACTGACACCAAATCACCGCTTGTTCTTCCTTGCACTATGGGTACTAACCACTGCATACTGGGAACACGCAACAAAACTTGCCGTTTTGGAGATGCTCTGACCCAGTCGACTAGCCATCACTATCTGGCCCTTGCCAAAGTCACTCAGATCTTTTCACTTGCCCATTTTTCCTGCTTCCAACACATGAAATTCTTTACTGTTCTGAACTGACGATTCACTTGCTGCCTAAAATATCCCACCTTTTGACAGAGGCCATTGAAATTATGTAAAAAAAAATGTATTTACCTCAACCATCAGTGGTTTTAATGTTTTGTCTAAACAGTGTATAAATATATACACATACACAAAATCATTCAGCTGGTCAGGCTGAGAGATCAGCCAGCTGAAAACAAGTAAAACATTTTAGGCTGGTCTAAGCTTCTTTTTTTTTTTTTGCAGGCAAAAAAGGCAATAAAACTTTCTGGCATTATTAGTGGATCATGTTAATAGGTAATGTGATGAACTACACCAGTGGTTACTCCACTAGAAAACCTGTATGAACTTGAGGAAATCTGACAACATACATCCAATAAACATTATTTTGAGTTAAAAGCAAGCTAAAAAGCATGGCTAGGGTATAGCATATTTTGTTTGCATAAGCCACTTGCTTGATATTATGTCATCTAATGCAAAGGCATTCAGACACTTTCAAGTGCAGCATAAGCATTCAAATACTTTTTGAGGCCACTGTATGGTGTAAACTCCGTCACAGGCCATGCCGATGATTCGGAAAGAGCTGTAAATCTCCCTTTTAATGTTCGCTTTCCTACACAGCCCAGCAGTATCATAAACTGATTGGTTTCCCTGCATATCCAGCTGAAGAGAATTAGATTTGATCCCTTTTTCCCGCTCTGAATGACTGAGTGTCTGGCCCAGAATAATGTGCCATAAAAGAGCTCAGCAATTAAGAAAATGGTTTCCTTTCCTTTCCAACCGCACAAACGTTAAACACCTTGACAGCATCCTACAGTGGAAAGAAATGGGCTGGAAAATGGGAGTGTGACATCCAGACAGATGGTGTCAGAGTCCTGGCACTAGCTGGGGGAAGAGGGCATATGCCCACATTTGGACTGGCACAACTAGATCTACTGGCACAAACAAGCACAGTCGAACATGCAGCAGTCAAGCAGGATTTATCACACCACCCAGTGTTTCAGCAGACAAAGACCCCCAAACACCGCAATCTGCGTGTATGCGTCCTGTTTCCCTGTCGGAGGAGATTTTGAGCTAGTCTTAATCCAAGTGTGATAGAATTATACAGATTTGTGCAGCAGTAACAAAGCGAACAGGATCTTCACAAAGTAAATGAGTGTCACTCTTGTCTTCCGAACGTCTGAGAAACGGCTCCGCTGATTGCCAGGGATCATCACAAACACGCGACCAGCGACTGAAACGCTGTGATCACACAGTACACAGCAGGATTCGGTCCCCAGAGGGCTATCTCTAGGACACTTTCATCTTTACAGAGTGCAGAATAACAGTACATTTTACACGAAATGGCGACAACAGAAACTACATTCAGGAAATTCAAAGAGATTACAAAAAAGAGGTAAAGAGTAATGGTAAATATGCATGCATTCACAGTAACAATGTGTAAATCTTGTCGATTACAGTATATAGAACTAACGGTTCTGTTTGTCATATAAAATAACCTCAAGTACGGTATGATTTAAAAAATAGTTTCAGAGTTAGAGATTTGAGTAGAGAATTTTCCACACATCATCTGCTCATTCAATTTTCATTTGAGTTCAGTTTCTGAAGACTCAATATCCACAAGAACATCAGGGTGCTTTCACACATGACTGCATCCAGGAACATACTGTGATTTCTTCCTAAATATGCAAACAGATGAGTTTGATTCAGCAATATACTCTGCGGTACAAATTACATAAACCGTTCAAAATCATAAATCACACACATTATTCGACATCTAAAACAGACATCGCAATAATCTTAATTAGACTTTATAATCAATATTTGTGCCTTTTTTCCTCTAAAAATCTAAGCATGCTTTAATCCTTCAAATACTTGAGAAAAACATTTGCATAGGATTTTATAATCTTATATCTTAAATTAAGTTTATTTGTCTTAACCCATTTTATTTCTTCTTTCAGCACAAACTTTGCCAGATTCTTATACTTACTAGATTTATGCTTAAAACAAGAAGAAAAAAATGCCAATGGGGTAAGAAAAATAAACTTATTTTCTAAAAACATGTATTTATATCCAATGCAATGTTAGTTCTAAAGTAAATATATCTTGTTTTAGGTATATTTACGGGAAAAACTCTACATTGTATTTTTGTCTTGTTTTCCAGTACAAATGTTCCTAATCAAGATAAATTTACTTAAGATGTTATATAAAGTCATGACATAAGATATCATAAGACATAAGTTTTGTTTTCTGAAAAATATATAAAGATTATGCTTAAAACAAGAAAAAAATGGAATATGAAAATTCTAACTTTAAAACCTAAAACCTAATTATCTTTTTAATATCTAATATCTATACTCTTAATCTACTAATAATCTATGCTCTTTTGTTGATTTTGATTGCTTCCATTGTCCTCATTTGTAAGTCGCTTTGGATAAAAGTGTCTGCTAAATGACTAAATGTAATGTAAATCTATACCTAATATCATTTTACTTCAAGTAAACGTATCTTGACTTACAAATATTTACATTAGTTGAAGTTAGTTGAAAATATATTCACATAAGTTGAAGGTAAAATGGTATCATCCTAAGGCCATTTTGGACAATAGTCTATTCACTAAACAGCCTCCGCATTTATTTAGATGACACCTGCACAAAAGTACTCAGGTGCTCATTGTAATCATTCAGCAGCTGAATTCAGCCAGACAAAGGGTGAAGTGTAGGCCTGCTGTGAGCAGGGAAATTAGAGGCCTCCACATCGCATTAATGCTCCTTGCCAAGAGGAGAGATCAGCCGAGAAGAGCGCCTCAAATGATGAGTGGGGTCCAGATTCCTCCAGGACCGCTGTAATGTGTGCCCGAATCCAGATTAGGAGCATCATTGACTCAGCGTGCTTGGCCACGGACCAGAGCTTTTACCACGCAACCAAAATCCACTAATGAAGAAAGATCCAGCTTTGATGGCTCCCTCCAAATGTTGCTGCGTTTTTCTCTTTCTGTTACCCATTTTGACCTTTATCTTTCTTCATCTCACTCTATATCTTTCCACTTCATTATGTCTTTCTCTCTGGGTTGCTTTCTTTGAGCAGGGGAATGAAGGCAGGAGATCTATTGGGTGCCAGACTCACAGAAGGAGAAGAGGCAAATGGCTGTGGAGAGAGAAAGAGAGAGAGGCAGACATTGCTGCAGGAAGAATACAAGCACATTAGTTCACAGCAGACAGCGTTTCACAGGCCCCGCTCCTCTACACTACATCACGCAGGCCTGCGGGCGAAACAACGGTAGGAACCCGAACCACAGACGGGAGGTGCAGGAGAAATCATCAGTCTGTCTCTGGTTCCTCCCTCCCCGGAGCACTGCAGGCTTCTGGGGGAAACGCAGACATGCGTGTCCAAACATTGGTGATTTTGGTTGGCGGGCGGAAGACCAGAGATTGAGCCCTTTAACCAAAGACTCGATCATGACTTGTCACACATGACCAGCCATAAATATCTACTGTCAGAGCGAGCAATGCTGTGAAGATACAAATCGCCAGGAAGGAAATAAGAGTTTATAACATAAGAGTTTAATGAAAAATATAACTTATATGACATTCTGGTGTTAGGAGCTTCCGGTACAGAAAATACTGTACAAACAAAGTGCAGACATACATAAAATGAGAGAATAGACAGTAACTATAAATAACAATAGTAATAAAAATATACAGAAAAAGGACAAATGTCCATAGACAAAACTGTGAATGTGCATATGTGCTATTTACAGATTAAGGTTTAATGAGTTATTTACAGATGTGCAGTACTGAGGTGTGTTATGTGTTGTTCAGGAGCGATATGGCCTGGGGGGAAAAAATGTTCTTGTGTCTGGAGGTTGGGTAGAGGGGCACCAATAATCCTCTCAGCAGTCCTTACTGTCCGTAGTAGTCTTCTGATGTCTGTTTTGGTAGCTGAACCAAACCAAACCGTTATAGATGAACACAGGACAGACTCAATGATGGCCAAGTAGAACTGTTTCAGCAGCTCCTGTGGCAGGTTGAACTTCCTCAGCTGGCGGAGGAAATACAGCCTCTGCTGGGCTTTTTTCACAATAGAGTCAATTGTGTAATTGCCCCACTTCAGGTCCTGAGAGATGGTGTTGCCCAGGAACCTGAATGACTCCACTGCAGTCACAGTGCTGTTCATGATGGTGAGT